GGAGGGTTTTTTAATTATTTGATATTCAAAGTTTGTTGATCTGATCAATTCAGCTTCACACACAAAACAAAAATGAGATCAATGAAAGTGATACCATAACAAATAAATGATTTAGCAGTAATAATATAATTGCAAATATATTATAAATATGAATATCTATAACCAACATTCTATATAAATACTGTTAAATTTTTAGTGATTTTAACTGCAATGACATTAATTATCGTTAAATATTTTTGTAACAATAAATATTGTTGTTAAAAAAATAAATCTACTACCACTAAATATATATTTTGTTTAGTGTTAACATAAGAGATCTTAGAAATTAATACAAAAAATCTTCTTAGGACATTATCTTGTGTTCACATGAAATTATTTCCTCTTTAGTACTCTCATACAACTAGTGGCAAAAACAGATGCACATTGTCAACAAAACTGTCCAATCATAAATGGTGATTGTAATAATATGGATAAGATTTTTTTAATTTTTAATTAGAGACTTTAATTCTGAATCTTTGATATATATATATATATTTTATTTTTTTTGTTAAGAAACAAAAATTCTTATAAATAAATTTTACACTGCATGAACTTATATTAGCGATCAATAATTCAATACTAAAAAAAAACATCACATCACTGATTTATAGAGTAGAAAAGATATACTACCATCTGTAGTCCATTTTTAAGTGTCCTTTTAGTCAAATAAATTTGGTCCAAAATAAAGTACTCATCACTTTTAAATAATTAAAAAGCATTAATACTTTTTTCCCCAAATTTTACCTTGGTCTAATTAATAATTTATACAATATTCCAAAAATCTTCTCAACAGTATTCACTCTTTTTTTATAAAACCTTAAACAATATTTAAAGTTGTCTTATTCTGCTGCATTTCTTTAAAATATCTTTTTTTTTATAGCTTAAACTCGTAATCTATAATTACTTAAAAATAACTTTATCAATCACGTTAAAATTATTTTTTTCCTAACTTAATGCATCAAACTGCTTTTTTTTAAAATTTAAAACTATGTTTAAAATGGACATGAGGAAACATGTAGTTTAGTACACTATTTTAAAACTATGTGCTTGTACTAAATTTTTATCTCTTATAATAAAATACTATTAGGTACTCACTTACATTCTTAAATTATCTCACTACACAAGTCATGATTTGGAAAAAGAAAAAAAAAGAAGAAATTTTTGAGGTAAAATACAAAATGTCCAAAATGAGAGATAGATTCTAGCCATAAGTGGTTGGATTAGCCTTTGGACTTTTTTTTTATCTGTTTTTATTGAGAAAAAAGAGATCTAACTAAAGTTGAACATTCATCATTGTCATGATGATGCGATTGAATATTTATCGATCCAACATCTGACCAATCAAATATATTCTTGAGTTCAATATAAACAATTAGTGGGAATTATCCGTTGTCGGTCCATATTGGATAGTTTACTCAACTAATCTTGTCTTCACATCCTCTAATTCTAATCTATCGTTTAACTATAATATATTAAATATTTAACTGTAATATTTAGCAATCAACACAGACCCAACAAATTATATTACAAGTGGTCTTATATATTTTTTCTGTCTTGGTTTACTCAACACATTTATCTTTTTAGTCATTTTTTTTTAAAAAAGCCTCTCAAATTCTTATTTGATAAATATTTATTAATGTTATCAATATTTTGACGTAGAAGTTAAAACTCAACTATAAGCGAAAAATCATTTGTAAAACACATTTAAAGTATAACCATTGATATTTCAAAAATATCCTCGACATAAAACAAATATATCAACATAAATGTTAGGTTTAAAATTACAAATAATGTTCTCAACATAATGCAGACACATCGACAGAGAGGCGAAGTCATTCAACACTTTAAGAGTTAGGTTTCGACTTTTTGCGTCCATTAATTATCCCATTGGAAGTAAATGGAATTAATTATCTTGGACTTTTACCTAATATTTTGTTCCTAGGATGATGTACAAACTACAAAGCAGTATTAATCAAACACTTAATTGTGTGTCCAATTTATTAACCTTGACTTCTTGAGCATAAGAAAGGTCCACTTTGCAAAATTATGCCCCTAATTAACGAATGAAAGCTCATAATCTAGTGTTGTGTATGAAAGTTTGAAATAATTCAAATTCATGTATTATAAGACTCATTTTTTACGATAATATTTTCAGTATAGTTTTTTCATTTTCAAAAGTTTGAGGTACCAATAATGCTACTATTATATTCTTACAACAATAACATATTCGATGTAATTTCATAAGTGAGGCCTAAGCAAAATACACAACCTTTTTTCTTATCTTATAAAGGTAAATTATTGTTTTTCGATAGATCCGCAACTCAAGTATAACATAATAAATATATAGATGAATTTCATTTTTGGAGACAAAAAACATCATGTTATCTTAAAAGCACAACTACTAACCATATGACAATTGGAGAAATTTTAGGCAAATTCCCAACAAACAACTTATATCTACACATGGGGCATGTTGTTGCATTTTCAAGTAGAATTCAATTTAATTTTTAGAAGTGAGAATGAAAATATTTCTACATTATCAAGTCATTTAAAAAGATAATTATTGATATTCGTTCATATAATAACTTGATATTAATAAATTAAGTTTTATAGTATAATAAGTTGAAATACATTAATAAAAAGATTTTACGATCGATTTTTGTGGTCCAATGACATGACAACATTATGTTTGTAGAAATTCCAATAAAGTTT